TTGAAAAAATTCGACCTGTATCTGCGGGACTAATATCGCTGTGGCCAAATTCTCTGTTGTGGGTTGTGCCCAATCATATAGAGGAGCCTCTGGCACAAGAGGCGCCACTACTGGCGCAGCCGGGTCTACCTCGCGATCCCCCATGTCTCGTTCAAGTTGTTCAGTTGATTGTTGTTGTTTGTTTTTCCGGTTGGCCCGATTCAAGGCCTTGAAAACTTTTTCGGGATCTGATAATGCTTCAAATACTTCACCAGTTCTCGATGAGTTTCTAGGCATGCACCTGTATAACCAAGTTAACAAACGTTAAAATTTCAATGTCTGGATTGAAAATAAAGAAAACTGACTACACTAAGAATTTTTGTATTTCTTTCAATTGTAATTGATAACACCGTTAATTCCCCGGCAACGGCGCCAAAATTTGATCACGCCCAACTATGCCTTATAAAAAGGACAAGCGGTCGTTGCAAATATAATCTGAGTATTTAGCCCAGAGTCGAATCCCACAGGGAATTAACCTACCAATTACTTTTATTAGACTCACTAAATTCTTCGTAATCAACTTCCCAGATATTTTGAATAACAATTGGTGATATTTTTACTAACTATAACTGAATGAAGTTAAGTAAACTAAAGGCTAACTATGATTGAGTTGTAAACAAATAAGAGAAGGATCTAAGGTTGTGATTTCCCCTATTGATGGATCCCTTCCTGTTATGTTTCATATAGATTTGCCTAATCGTCTCTATCGATCATGAGCACTCTTACTACCGTAAATCTCTCCCGAGTAATTACGATAATTTACAAGACGCACTCTCCCGAGTTACGCTAGCTGGCTTTTATTACAGCTCACTATAGATCGCACCCAAGGTTCCGTTATTCCTAATCCCACCTTTAAACCCTCGGTTATTGATTCCTCATATACTTTGGGAGTGGTGTTGTTCAACAATTACCTAAATATGCACTCTCTCCCGAGTAATACATACTAAATAGGCACAGCTAACTGAGGATCCTATCAATTAACTACAACAAGAACGTAATTGAACAAACAGAGATTAAACCGAGCAACTATATTAACACAACAAGAAGTTCATCCTCAACAAGTTCCATCAAACCCTAGACAAAATAATTAGCTACTCATAATAGTATCCATAATAACAGCAAAATTCAACAAGAATGATAAATACAAAAGGAAGAAAGGTAGAACTCGATGTCGAATTATCCTCCTTGCCTCTTGCCTCTTCTTGCCCTCACAAAACTATAAAAACCTCGATAATCTCTCTTTGGGCGAGCTGGACCTCCTATAGGTTAAGTGGAATTACCCCCAAACTTCAAAGTTTACCCCTGAACTTATGCACTCCGGATGGACTAGAGCAGCCGCGCTCGAACCGCGCTAGTGGCCGCGCATATCGCAGAGTGTTCTGCCTCAATTTCCTGCACTAGCGCGGTCGCGCTAAGGCCGCGCTAGATGAATCAGCATTTGATCTCTTCTTTTATCTCTTCTTTCACACGTACTCAGCTCCGAGGGGCTTCCCTTGCTTTAATTTAGCTCCAAACACTGTCCTAAGTCCTCATAAGCACAACTTGCTCCTGCAAAACATGAAATTCACAATTAGAGCTAATTTATCGTCATTTAACTTCCTAAAACGGTGAAGCATAGTCAAATTGGAGCATAAACAGTCGGCAAACTACATAAATCTAGCCTATTATCATTGAGCTGATATTTGCATCTTTTTAGCTGTTCAAGTACATTTCTAAACCCATTCGAGGACAAACGTTTATTTAAGAGGTGAAGAATATAATGACCCGATCGATTGTTTTGAGTATTAGAATTCCGATCCCCTATTTGATGCTTTCCGTATGTATAGTTGATGTTTTATGACTTGCAGGGATAGGTGGTTTGGTCTTCATGGGGCTCAGGAGTGATTTGGAATACTTAGTTCTATTTTTGAAGCTTAAGTTGTAAGAGTTGACCAAAATTTTACTTTTGAGTAAACGACCTCGAAATCGAAATTTGATGGTTCCAATAGGTCCCTATGGTGATTTTGGATTCAGACATATGTTTTAATTTGGTTTTTTGATGTTCTTAGAAGAATTTAACTCTATTTGTCGAAAGTTGGCAATTTAAAGAATTGAAGAGTTTTTAAGTTCAATCGATAGTTGACTTTGATGATATCGAACCCCGATTGTTGTTCCATGATTGTTAATAAGTTCATTTTGTTGAATGGAACTTGTGTGCAAAGTTTGGTTGAGATCCGAAGTGTCTAAGTATGAATCAGACGCTTAGTTGGAAGTTTGGAAGTTTATGAACTTAAGAAAGTTCAATGTGAGGTTTGGTTCTTGATTTTTAGATGTGATATTTTTATATGTGTTTGGGGGTCTTTGGATAGGTCTAGGTAGTGTTTATGGACTTGTTGGTATGATTAGACGGAGTCTTGGGGAACTCGGGCGAGTTTGAGACCATCTAGAGAATGTTGGGTTTTGCAAATTTTTGCTGGTGTCAAGTTGATCATCGCAATCACAGAACATGTCTCCTAATCACAGAGAGTAATTTGGATAAGGGGAAATGATGAATCGCGATTGCATAAGGTGGGACGCAATTGCGTAGAAGGAGGTCTGGCGGGCAGGTTATTCATTACAAATGTGTGGTGCTCGACCGCTATCGCGAAGCGTTGGCAAGTTGTGGATTGGGATTGCATAAGCTGATCTGCGATCGCGTAAGAGAACTGGCAGGCGACAAAATTTTATACATCGCGATCGCATGGGTAATAATCGCGATCACGAAGGGCATCGTTGGGCAGACAACTTAAGTTATGATTTTCAGAATTTTGCTCATTCATCTCATATTTTGAACCCTAGCCATCGAGAGGAAAAGATTTTGAAGAGGGATTTCACTACAAGCTTGGAGGCAGGTAATTTTCACTTGGATTTGGTCATATATCTTGATTTTCTATGGATTTTTGTACCTAAAACATAAAATTTTAAAGTAAAATTTGGGAGTTTTGTCTACAACTTAAGAGAGGATAATTTAAGATTTTGAGCATCAATTTGGACTAGAATTTGAAATCTTATCACATATTTGGACTCGTGAGATTATGGGTAAATGGGATCTACACCCAAATGCATATTTTGATTATGTGGGCATGTATGGACTTTTGTTGACTTTTTGAGAATTGATTAAACAATGACGCTTTATTGTTTGGAATTGATTCCTATGATGTTATTTGACATTACTCCTATTAAGTATTATTTGGTTAGATTCAAGCCGGTTGGAGGTGATTTCTTAAAGGAAAGGCAATTTAGAGGATGGATTTGGCTTCAAAAGATAAGTATCTTGCCTAATCTTGGTTTGAGGGAGTAACCCTTAGGATATGACCTTGATACCACACGACCTAAGAAATCAACCGAATTAAGCTAAAACTCACACTTCGAGAACTTAGTATAAAACTTGCATTCTTTCAAAATCTACAGCACGTGCTTAATTCTACTACATGAGTATATCAAGATATCATTATTAAATACAATCACAAAAGTATCAAAATAAGACTTGAAAACTCGATCAAGTCCATAAATGTCTCTGAGGCATTTGTCAACCAAACGACATAACAAGGAACTCGTAGTGCCTAGTGCTCATGACGAGTCCTAAAAGCTTTTTTTGGAATATCTGAGTCTATGCTTTCAGTATTGTTTCTTTTGAGTGGGCAAACATGTCAATGGTTAACTAATGCTTCTTAAGTCCCATTTTTTTATCCTTCTGGAATGTGCTACGAACTCACCGTAGATACGAACAACTTTGCGCTTTAAAATGCTCCACCACCTTTACTCTTAGCAAATTTCATTTAAGTTTTGCACTTTTATCACCTAGCCGGACACTTCAAAGTTCAAACACTACCAAAAAGGCAAAAACAAGTAAAAAGTTTAAAAAGAACTAAGCAAATTCCCATACATTTCTTAAACACTGTATAAGTACTTTTACACTTTCTATTGTATTATTTTTGCCTGCGGGTCTGGCATGCAATTCAAATAACGAGCATTCATTAGGTTTTTTTAATGGTCTCTAAATATTATGAAATTTTCTAAGTTGTCACATGTTTACCCTAAAAAACGAATAATAATTGAATTTATACGCGGTTTTAAGGATACGTGATATAACTTGATACAAATTGAGAAAGCAGATTAATATTGAAATTAATGACAAGAAAATAAATGCAAACCACACAAATTGGACAACCTTAGCCTTGGAGTTTGATCACCCTCGAGCCATGAAATGCCTCAACTGATGTTAGAACAGAATAACAAGATTATGAGAACTAGAGATAACAATGTATTGCTTTTGGAATCAGACCCCCTTTATATTGTAGGGGAGTCCTACTTTAGATACAATTCTACAAAAGGTAAGAAATCTCATGATTAGCTAATTAGCCGGTCTCTTGCTGATATGTGCTGAGATTTCCGCCGTGACATCTGACCGGTTACGGATATTTCGGCCTTCTGTTATTCGGTGCGATAGTGTTTCCTCGAGCTGAATCGGAGTCGGGGTCGGTTGCGGAGTTATGAACTCGATGATCTCGAAGACGTGTGTTCTGACTTCGTACCTTCACTCGAAAGAACCCGGGGTCGATCTCCAAACCATCTCGTTTCAATCTCGATCTTTCATGCAATAGGGGAGCTCTATTTCGACCGTACACCCTACATATAAAAATAAAAGATGATTTTACTAGTTGAATATCTATTTGAACAACCATCTCTAACAATAATTGGTTAGTTATTTAAAATAAGAAAGTAATATCCATGATATCACTTGTCAAGTAACAATAGCGCCTACATAAATTTCTCTAACAATATTTGGTTAGTTTTTTGGGTTAAGTTATGTTGAGTATGCGATATATAAAACAAAATTTCTCTAATTATTCATTTTGCTGGAATCTTTTAATTGTATCTTTTTTCCCGAGGTGCATTTTTTTTAATCAATAACCAAAACTTTTGGGGTTAATTGGAATTAACAAAAAGAAAAAAACGAGCCAAATAAGCAACTAGGGTTTATCAAAACCGAAAACGAAAATCCCTCCATTTCTTTTATCTACCACTCAACCGCCGGAGAATAATAACATTCCCACAATGTCCGTCGACGATTCCACGCCGCAGGTGGACAAAATCTCCCTAAGTGACGGCGTTGAGGAGGCTCAATTCTCCCAACGCGTTCCTGTCCGTTCAATTCTTGGCCGTCCTGACGGTGGAGCTGGACTCGCCGGAAAAGTTGTGAAAATTGGGGGTTGGGTTAAAACCGGTAGAGAACAGGGAAAGGGTTCTTTTGCCTTCCTGGAAGTGAATGATGGATCATGCCCTGCAAATCTACAGGTAATTGTGGATAGTGCTGTGTATAAACTTGGAGATTTGGTACCTACTGGCACTTGTGTCCACGTAGAAGGTGAGCTGAAGTTACCTCCTGAAGGTGCAAAGCAAAAAGTTGAGCTTCGTGTCCAGAAGGTTCTGTCCGTTGGTACCGTTGATGCTGGCAAGTATCCATTGCCCAAGACTAAATTAACTCTTGAGTTTCTTAGAGATGTTGTTCATCTGCGGCCTCGAACTAATACTGTAATGATCTTTCTCACTCTTTCTCTTTTGTTTCTTGATTTATATTTCTCCATCTGTCCCATTTTAGGTTATGTTGTTGGACTGGGCATGAATTTTATGAAAATACTTTTGAAATTTGTGATCTAAAACTTGTGGTCTAAAACAAGTCATATTTGTGACTATAACTTTTTTCATTAACGGTAGATGACAAGTTAAAAGTTAAATTCTTTCTAAATATGTAAAGATATTATTTTTTGGGACAAACTAATAAGGAAAGTGCATCACATAAATTGTGATAGAGGGAGTAGGACTTTCTGTTTACTCTGCCAATAGTGAATTAGTCAATGCTCTAATGTGGAATAAAAATACTTGTATTGGCAATACACCGTGTCCATTCAATGAGAAATGATTTAATTTTTAGTTGCACTTCTGTGATACCTTATGATAAATTACATGTTCACGTTTTATACTTGCACTTCTTTTATTGAGCTGGAAATGGAGGGATCAAGGGATATTCATGTTAGGGGACCTTGTTTTTCTTAATAGAAGTTTTGTGGAACTTCCTTATTTGCTCTTTGATTTCCAAATATTTTTGAGTTTCATACCCAGCTTGTTTTTTTGCTTATGTTTCTATATAAACGGAATAATGACAAATTATTTTGAAGTGAGGTAGGATTGATTGATGCAATTAGTCCTTATGCTTCTTGAAAGAAGATACGTGGTGGCCTGTTTTGCTCCTTTGTTAGCGACAACAATCATCAGTGCTGAAATATGTGAGATCACAAAACAAATTTGTATCATTTTATGTTGGTTAATTTTACAAATAAAACATATTCTCATAATTAGGGATTACATGCATATGGAACTACTTTGTCTTTTGTCATTTTATGAGGATGTCATAGTCTGAGCTTACAAATTTATTTTGATATTGCTTCTGTATAGTGGGATTACACTGGGTAAGTTTTTCTTCTGTTTCGTTCTCTCTCTCTCTCTCTCTCTCTCTCTCTCTCTCTCTCTCTCTCTCTCNCACCCCCGGAAAGAGGGTATAAGTAAAGGGAGTTATTTCCAACTTGAAGTGACAATCGAAACGGGATTTATTTTTTAAAAATTACAGAGTCGCCACTTGGGAGATTCATGGTGTCCCAAGTCACCGGTTTTAATCCCGAATCGAGGAAAAGAATGACTCTGTATACAATCGGCGAACCAGAAATCCGGGTAAGGAATTCTGTTAACCCGGGAGAAGGTATTAGGCACTCCCGAGTTCCGTGGTTCTAGCACGCTCGCTTTGATCATACTTGGCTTAATCAAATATTTAATTACAGATTTTAGAACCTATATGCTTTTGCTTCTTTCACCGCTTTTAATTAGAAAATTATCTTGAGACGGGTTACGCGTACGTATACACGCCTGTTTGGTGTGTCAAAAATCATGTCACACGAACGTGTCCACAATTAATAACGCTTAATTATTATTAAGTTGTTTGGGCCGAAGTTGCGCGAACGCATACTCCGGTTTTGTTTTAGAAAATGTAGTTGTGTTACGCGAACGTATACGCAACCATACTTGGTATTTTAAACAGCCTTAAAGGATATTCTACGAAGTATTAATCATTTTTAATATCTAGGTTATAAATTAAAACGAGCCAGAACTATTTTTATTATCTAATATGGCTCGCCTCCACTAATGACTTAAAGAAAACTTAAAGGATTCTAATCGTTTGGTTATTTATCGAAATTGGCTCAGTAGTTGAAGGCACGCATCAAGCAGG